GGTTTAGGGTTTAGGGTTCCGAAGGTTTGCATGCCATTGTCGGGACATGAAGCGAGGGTGCTTTGTGTACGGTGTAGTCTCAGGTAGTTCTTTGGTATGGGATGGGGCGCAATGTTGTTACTTACGGGCGATCCTCGCACAGGAAGCAGAGACGAAATCAGGCAGCGGGGCTGGTCCTACGTTGCGAGTCAGTTTTGTCTGGCATTTTGTGCGAGTGCTCGAGCTGAAAAGCATAAAGTAGTACTGGTGTAAGCTCATTGCATACGGCTTCTGTCGCATTTGCAGGGGTTCAGACTTGGGGGGCACATCTGCACCTGCACCCTTGTTCACACCACCGAGGCTTGTTTTTTTCATTAGCCTACTCTTGCCTACCTTGACAATGGGGTGTTGTTATGTGCCCTGATGTAGAGTTTGTGCGGCCCCTGCTCAAAACAAGAAACATAGGTCTGGTAAGTAGGGCTTGGGTTTCAAGGAGTATCCAATCTCCAATGGGCCTGTTGAAGCCTGCCTGTGGCCGCAGGCGGAGACCAAGACAGCACCGGGCAAGGCGGGTGCAACATCGAGCAGCCTACCTCAACCGACTAATACACACTTATTCTGGGGTCCGAGTAAATAGCCTAGTATACCTCTGGCAGAAGCATGGGCAAATGACAAAGGAAGTTCTGGTAGCTAAGGCTTGTGTTAGGGTTTGGGTTTGGGGTGCCTCAAGCTCTCCCGAAGAACAAAGCAGTGAGAATTCGAGCTATGACCTCGTGCAGCTGGGGCTTGTAAGTAAGGCCCTAAACCCTGAACCCTAAACCCTAAACCAACCACCCGTAACTCGAAGGATGCAAACTGGGCGGTCTGAAAAAAGCTCATTCGTTGTCAGGTGGGTGATGACCACGGTGCTGATGATGATTATGACGAACTGCTGATGTCTGCGGATGATGAAAATAATGACGATGATGAGGATGGTGATGATACTGTTGTTGTTGATGTTGATGATGATGGCAGATGATGGTGATCATGATGACAATGGTGATGTTGTTTGCTAAACCCTAAACCCTAAACCCTAAACCCTAAACCCTAAACCCCTAAACCCTAAACCCTAAACCCTAAACCCTGATCGGAAGGTTCAGTGTTTAGGGTCGGCAAGGGCATAGATTTCGAGGCGCGGTGTTTCAGGTCCAGGAGGGCTTACTATAGGGTGTAGGGTTTAGGGTTTAGGATTTAGGGTTGTTTAGGGTTTAGGGTTTGGGGTTTAGGGGCCTTAATCCTTAGAACATGGTTTTGGAGTGAATTATACTTTTTACTTTTCTTATACTACAGAACTCGAATTAAGGAGCAGAGTTAGTACTTATTTAGGCTTTTACATGACCGTTTGGGGCTTCTGGATCTTGAGCCTCACGCCATGGACCACAAAACAAAGCGCTTGTTGTGTCTTCTGCTACCCGGAAAGCTCATAGCAACCCTTTTTAGCAAACCTTGCAGTACATGTATAGTACCATACACGCTTGAATACCCTTGATGTCAGAAGACAACTTCCTGACTCAGTCGAACGGTAGGACAGCCCATCAGTTGAACGTGTGGGGGAATCTCTACCCTACTTTTAACGAAACAGTGCTGCCCATTGTTCCATTCAGCTGTTACAGTCTAGCCCTTTTTACGAAAAATATGATAATAAATAACTCACCTAAACAAATAGATAAGTATACATGTACATACATCTGATACGTGTGTATGGATAGATACATATGTATACCTTTATGTCTAGAGTCTAGAGACGTGTGCATATATACTCAACTATATATATATATATAGATTTATATACGTATTATACGTATTTGCACACATACATACTTTTATGTACAGATGTGGATTCGTCATCCCGTGATGAGAGCCTTGAGACTTACAAGCCAGCAAGATTTGCCAGCCGTTATGGGCTGTGTTGCAAGGGTTTTAGGTTCATGGTTTCAAGGCGTGTATGGGTTGGGGTATAAGTACAATCGTGATTTGTTAGGAAGCCCAACTGACGAGAAGTAGAGCTTTGAGACCTTTGCCCTTAGTTTGACCATCTGAAAATCATTCTCCTAAGTGTTGCACATTTTGGGATGTGGGTTTGGGGCATATGGTTTGTTTGAGGTTTTGCGGGGATCCTCAACTCTAAACTCTATATAAACCCAGTCTGAAGTTATCAAGATCCGGCTCCCCCTATCTCGGCAGATCTCGCAAAGCTCCCTTCCTGTTGCTTGCGCTGGCCTCATGGTCCCCGTGCTGGCGCGCCTGTTTCTTGTTCAGGGTTCAGAGTTTATGCTGCGGCGCAGAGCCTGGGATTCTTAAAAAATTGGCCTTATAGCATTATCAGAAGCCACAAGTAGATTCAGGATTCAGGATTCCGTTCTTATGGTTCTATTGCGCAAGAGTTAAGAGTTTTCCACCGTAGTCCAAACATTGGAGTCTGGAGCCGTCGGCTCTCGGGCTGCAAGGACCCAAACTTCCCATCCAACTGTGGTGAGCTGCTGCTGCTGCACTTACTTGTGCCGCTGTTCTCACTCTCTGCGGCTCTACTTATACTTATGGGATCTTCTTGGCATTTGCCTTGCCGTGGCCACTATTGCTGCCGTAGCTTGCTTGCATAGCGAATAATGCTGCTTATTTCCACACGGATGGACGACGCCAGCGCCACGATTTTGTCTACCACCGCCCTGCCCCACTGCTCCTGGAGTCCTTTGCCCTCATTGTCCCCACATTACCTTGTCTCACAGCCCAAAGGTCTAGTCTAAACTGTGCGATCCCGCACCATCCCTCACCCAACAGAACCCTCCTCTCTTCGAGTCCATGATGTCGCAGGGCTCTGTTCGAAGAGGAAAGAAGCCTCTAGGCAGTGATTCTAGCATATAACCCTAAATCCTAAACTGTAAACCCGAACCCTAGACCCTAAACCCTAATCCTAAACCCGAAACCCTTCTCAGAGTTCAAGCTTGGGAGCTTTGGGAATCAGATGTCGATCCTTCAATGGTTTCTCCTCTTGTTCGGGTTTTGTAAAGTCTTAGAGTTTAGGGTTTAGAGTCTGGTTTAGAGTTTAGAGTTTAGGGCTTAGGGCTTAGAGTTTAGAGTTTAGGGATCAGGGCCTGTTTGCTGAAGAGTGCGCAAGCCCCACAGGCCTTCAATGCCCCAAGGATCTTGAGGGACCTCAAAGCTTGGTTTACGGTTTAGGCTTTAGGGTTTAGGCTTTAGGGTTTAGGCTTTAGGCTGGCTGTTGGAGTTCGGGACTTCAAGGATTCTCGTGACGTTCGTGGCGGATTTGTTTGTAAAGAGGGGCTTGGAGTCGGACTTGACATCACATGAGACTCACTTTCATAGAGGAGGACTTGCAGCCTTAGCGACTGTGTTCATGAGTTCAAGTACATGCTACACTGCATCCACAAATAAGTAGTTTGTATGTATGTATCTATGTATGTGTATATATGTATATATGTATAGCTCCAGGAAGAGGCGTACCGTCCTCGTTGTTGGCATTCCTTTTTTGTAAGCACATGGAGTTCTTTCCGCTTCAGGGCGTAGGGCCCATCGCCCCATGCACTGTAGCTCCCTACTGCGATCGGAGTTTCACAGTGCGTGCAACAGAAGCATCTGCATAAACGGACTGACTTAATCGACTTAATCCAACCTAAACATAAATGCCCCCCAGCCGCAAACCGTCGCAAAACACCCCATGAACGCTTGCGAAGCGCTATAGGCCGTGTTAAACCTCATGCATAGACTGCTATAGTTCCCATGGTATAACGAACCCTTGTACGCCCCGTAAAACCGTGATTTGCTCTATCTCCTCCGTGTGAGGAAAGGAAAATTGCCCGGCAGCTGAACGAATTGCTGCGTACGGGCCGAACTAGTTGTGTAGGCATATATTGTAGAGCCCTGACTTTTTGAGTTACTGTTTTTCCCTTAGAATACTATCAAGTATCATATCTCCTATGTTAGGGTCGGCGATGGTGCATCCGGTTTGAGGCTTTGGAGCCTCCTTATGATTTATTTCGATTTCAATTCAAGAGCAGGGGTGCGAGGCGTTTGGGTTTGGAAACCCGGATACCCAAACCATGGTGGACTGAAGCGTTTGATATATGCTGAGGTCCAAGACGGCCATGAAGGATGCGACCTATGCCTTCCAGAAGGATGCCTATGCCGACTTGGAGTTCACCAACGATGTCGGCTACCTGCCGGATGGCACCCCGCTTAACAAAGCGGGCAACGCCGTGAACCACCCGGAGACGATCGGCGCGGACAAGCACGTTGCTGGATCTCCGCTTCCCCGTGCCAAGTTCGTGAACTCGGTGGGGTACCTCCCAGACGGCACTCCTATGAACGCAGCTGGCAATGCCATCAACCACCCAGAGACGATGCAGCCGGACCCTCACATGGCCGGCTCGCCCTTGCCACCTTCATCGTATGCTGCCGATGTGGGCTACTTGGTCGATGGTACTCCTTTGGACACCGCCGGCAACAACTCCGTCAAGGGTGCGCCTGCCACCCCGCCACCTGCAGCTGCAGCCGCATTCGTGGGCTCCAGTGCTCCGGCTGCACCCATGGCTGCATCGGCACCCGCTCCGGCAGCAGCCCCAACCAGCCCGGGAACCGCCATGCACGGCCGCAAGTT